CAGGATGCACTATGGGAAGAAAGCAAGCCAACGGAGGTAGTGTGATGCTCTGGGGTGAAGTTCTGCTGGGAAACCTTGGGTCCTGGCATTCATGTGGATGCTGTTTTGACACGTACCACTTACATAAACATTGTTGCAGACCAAGTACTCCCCTTCATGGCAACGATATTCCCCAATGGCAGTGGCCTTTTTCAGCAGGATAATGCGCCCTGCAACAATGCAAAAAAATGTTCAGGAATGGTTTGAGGAACATGACAAAGAGTTCAAGGTGTTGACTTGGCCTCCAAATTCCCCAGATCTCAATCTGATCGAGCTTCTGTGGGATGTGCTGGACAACCAAGTCTGATCCATGGAGGCCCCACCTCGCATCTTACAGGACTTAAAGGATCTGCTGCTAGCGTCTTGGTGCCAGATACCACGGCACAGCATATTTGTGCTTCAGTAGACAGTGAACAGATATTGATCGGTAACCTTTATGAGCATTAAAAACAATTTTATTGCAACAATCATTTCAAGGTATTTATAATTACAACAAGACCTTAAGCTCTGAAAGGTCCCCCATGCAATTCTAATGGCTTCACAGCACACAGGTCCTATCAATGTTGCACGCATGGCTAGTACAACAGAATCAATACTCACACTGAGATGGCTGTGGCCACCAACAAGGCTTAGTGTATTTGAGGATGGCTAAACAGTGAAAAGGTTTGTGAAATTAGAATCATGACAATTTATTGACACTATCAATGCCCCATCAAGACAAAAAAATCCTCACTGTGCCCAGTGTAGCTTCAGAGTCTTGTTCTTGGCAGACAGGAGTGGAATTTGATGTGGTCTTCTGCCGTTGTAGCCCATCCACCTCAAGGTTCAACATTTTGTGCATTCTGAGATGCTTTTCTGTTTCTTTGGTTGAAAAGAGTGGTTATTTGTATTACTGTAGGCTTCCGTTCTGAATTGGGTCTTTTCACAATTCTGCTGTTTGATGTAAATATTAACTGAACTTTTGACCTGTATTTTTTTAATCAAACATTTGTGTTCGGTATAAAACCAGGGAACCGCAGCATGATCAGTCCGCTCTCTCAATTTTGTCTGGAGGTTATGACTGAAATATGTTTTCTTCAGTGCCTGTCTTAGATCACGTAAGTCACAATGAAGTGATATATAAAATCTAATGAAGCTAGTCAGCTGCTGAAGTGTAGCTTTAGCATCTGAAAATCTACCTTTGAATCCTTTATATGACTGAAGTAACCACATAAACCAGGGACGCATGTATGTGAGGCAGTGTCTCTTTCGTTTCAATCCCACTGACATCTCTGAGGTTAATGGAGTTGGTAGGGTGGATAATGCAGGGGACTGTGGAAAAAAACACCACTTCACTCATGTCAACCAGGCTGCAGCAAAGAAGTACCACTCTTTCTTTACAAACTGCTTCCCATTACAGTGATGCAATATATTTCGGAAGTCGATAAGTGCGACTTTCTAAAGTTTTATTTTAGAGACTATGGAATTCGAATCCAATAGTGAATTTATTTATGGTATTTAGGAATGATGCAGAAGTCTCAGTTTAACCCTATTTTTTTTCACACTTTTATATGGGAAGCTAGGGCACCTTAAGCGATATACTGAAATAGACTGCGAAATTGGCAAGCAGGTTCTCAGCTGGTCACCACAAAGCCTCTAGCTGTTTTTGACTCCTGTGTGACACTAGTGCAGATGGGTAAAGCAGTAAAAAATGTACAGCCACTTCACTCATATCAAGCTCATTCGCAGCTTTGTTTCCCCAGATAGTTTTAAATGTAAATCATTTGACTAAAGAATTTCTACCCTAATTAATATCCCACCCAAGCATGGATTAAAAAAGCTTCTTTGGCTAATAATAACATCACAAACATATGGGTTAATGATCTGATTCTGCTTTGAGACATTACAGGCAAATCAGATGATAATCAGCTAACCTGTAATTAACTTGTCAATGCATAAAGCACTGTAACCGGTGGAATGAAAGGGTTTTGACGTTCATTAAAATGTCCCATTGAGATCAAGGTGATTACACTATGAAATTGCCTGTTAAGTTTAATCAACCTAATCACTGTCTGTGAAGGAGCTCTGAGCTATTTATACATACATGCCCACACAGATACATCCAAGCAAGGCACGGGTCTAACAATTAAGAATGTATGAACAGAAACAACATCAAGCAAGCAAGTGGTTGCAAACCAGGCTGTGTGGATTCTGTTATTAAGTCACTGTGGTTTTGTTTTTCTTCTTTTTTTCTTTGTTCACAGGCACTTAGAGGAGAAGCAATCCTCTGCGAGGAAACAAAAAACCAAGCGATTACTGACAATGCAATTAGTGTTTCTGTCTTGGCGTTTTTTTTTTTTTGTTTTGTTTTTTTTTAAAGATGCATTACAATCTCTCTCTGTAGGTTGCATACACATGGGAATTTCTTCCCAACAACATTACTGCATGCATGGTTTTGCAGGTTTTATTGAAGAGCAGGTGCATATTTTTAGCTGTATATTTATTGTTATGAATAAGCAGCCAGTTGCATCAGGTGACTGTAAGCTGGATCGTAAATCAGGGTGTCAATTTGATCATTAACCAAAAGCAGTTAGTTTAAAAATAGCATGGTGTGGAATTTCAATTTCGCTTAAGGTACTTAATATATGTTGTAACGAGTAGTGCTAAGAGTGTTCATGTAGATCAAAACCAGTGATTCGGAAACATAAGCAGGAGAAGCTACATTCACAATGAAGACACAGGGATGCATTTAGTGTCTGTCTTTCTCATTGTAACATTTATTTCAAGAAAGATTTGTCCAAGTTAGCCTTTGTAACAAAATAATTTGAATTTGATTATGCTGAATGACAGAATAAAGTAAAACATTGGTAAAGAGTTTTTGTGGTATTTTGTGATGTACTTAAGTGCTCGCTATGCTGCCTGATGTAAAAACAGTCTGTTTGTATGATTGATGTCATTTATATGATCCTTCCATTACATTTATATGTTCCATTATAAACAGTGCATTTTAGTGTGATCATAGACCACAAAAATACTTACCACATAAAGAAATCATTATACTCCTCACAGAATAAAAGGAAACTAAACTCGCTTATAGTTAGTAAATGCACTTTATATAAAAAATTTTTTTCCTATTTTCTCCTGTTGGTCGCTTGCCAATTCCCACCCACCAGCCAGATCTCCCCTATATCTCACCTACCAGCAGAGGTGGATTAAGGTCGTGTCCTCCCCCCTTCCCCACACACACACACACACACACACACGCCCCCACCCCCCGGCCCGCAACTACAACCTAAAAACACATTTGAGTCAAACCCACCGTCTTGCTTTCTCTGAGAAATGTGAAGCCAGCCAACCACATCTTTTGCTCATGCTGTGTCACAGGGCAATGAAGATACTCAGAGAAAAGCTCTATCTGCATACATGAGCTCACAAAGACCCCGATTGGCTAGTGTCGCTGTGATTGGCAGATGAGTGAGTATGCCATGCCTCCAACCCAGAAAGCATGGCCAATTTTCAAACCCGTGCCCTAATGATAAAGCGCACATTTTTTTAATTCTGCACACATTGCACTCTGCATATTGAACAGAAGTAAACAGTAGGCCTAGTTTCGATTACAGCAAATGTTGTGCTAGAGGGTAGGTTTTTGTTTTAAGTTATAACTAAAGCCTGCATTTAAACTATGTAACTTGGTGGAACTGGTCATTTTTTAGTAGATTGTTTCAGATTGAGCTTACAGGATTGGTGCAAGCTAGATGCATATTTAGACAGGGTTAGAAAATGACAAAGTTTGAGTATTTTTACCATACCTTTTCTAATACTCTGTCTCTTACACTTTCACACACACCGCAAACAGACATCACACACACACACACACTTTCATGTGAGTGTGTCACATCCCCACGTTCTGTCTCTAGCTATCTAGCTTGTGAGTCATTTTCACAACTCTGAAATTGGTTGTGTTTTCAAGAGCTGTGGTCAACCTGAGGTAATCCTAAAAAGGAAAAGGGAGCAAGGTGACATTGTTCTAGCACATCAGATCTTTAGTGCCACGAGTACATATGATTACTCTCTGCATATACCACTTACATTTAACCTTAGTCCTGGACTGTGTGTCTCCCTGTATTTGATTCAATGCAAATTCAGGATTATGTGCTCACTCCTAGGCCTGTGTCTAATTAATTTTCTGACATGCATTCCACAGATGTGGCCAGCTTAGCCAAGCATCACCAACACTTTGCTTTTTTTCATTACAGCGAATTAAACAGATTTAAATATCTGGCTATTGTGAATTGTTAATATGCACTTCCATGATGCTGGACAACTCCATATTTATATTTACATTATTTATTCATGTACTGGTACAGTGATTCCTAGATAGACATTTGCTAAATAAACAACTTTCATTTTTTATTACAAAACCCAATGATTGGAGTAAGTTCTAGTACTCTGAGGATGATTAATATTCCACAAAGCACAGAATTAAAGAATCACAGAATAAATAGAAATGCAAGTGCAAATATATCTGGAGCCCACGACAGGTATAAAACTGCTCACAGTCAGTATAAAAGGCAATGCAGTGCATTAGTTGGAACAGAAAATTGGTTGTTTGCCAACTGGCATACAAAGCAGCAGGTGCAGTCGGCTGACTGCTAAGATGGAAAATAATCAAGAAATAGGGGCTAAGCCGATGTGTGTAAACAAAGGAAATTACTCAAGAAGCGTGAATTGTTGCAAATGATAATTAATTGTCTTACTTTCATTCTTTTAAATAAATCTTACTTGTAGCCAAAACGTGTTCCAAGTACTAATTTGAGTCATTTTCCAGTAATCAATATTAATCTCTCTTGTCTTATTTTGGCACATCGAGAGTAGAGATAAGTGAAAGTTTTTGTTGCTCTTTGCGCCAATAATTGTATTTGCTGTCGGAATTTGGATAGACGTTTCATTTTTGTTTAGATGTTTTTATGCCTGTGTATGGGTCCCTGGAGGATTAACGGTTAGGCCTCGGAGCTCTCACCAGCACGCCTCAGGTTCGATTCTTGGCCAGGGAACTGACCTCAGCCACTGGGGTTGCAAACAACAAATCAAATATGCAGACCAATAATCAGCCAAAAGGAGAAGAACCACATCATTTGTATGCCTGTATATAAGTGGGTGTAGTGAGAGTGTGTCTACAATATGTTCTACCTTCAAAAAGACCCCGCACAAGGACAAAAATGGCTGTGTGATTCACTTGAACTTTTGGTAAAGAGGAATTTGAACTCTGTATTGTACCGCCTGCACTACATTTAACACACATCCAGCAGGTGTTCTCCGATATCTCAGTTATATAAAACTGAAACTAGCAAGACATCTGTTATATCTGTAAATCCCAGTGGAGCCAGATGTTTGGATGAAAAGCAGAACAATGGCTGTTAAATGATCCTGTTTAAGGCTTCTTTACTGTTTCCTTCTGCTCGAGTTTTGAAACTGGCCCTATGAATATTGCCACCACTGATTTCTCATCAGTAGTCTTATTTTGTCTTGGTAGCCTGTGTGATACATTCAAAAATGATCTGGATGACTATAACCCTTCACAAATGTATGTGGGTATATATGTATGCTTTTGTTTCTCTATCATGTTTCTAAGTTGCATTTGTATCTGCAATTCAGAATAGAGTTCTCTGATCGTTGAGAGGGTATATAAGGTATGCCTCGAGGACACCTCATGGCACGTAGGAGTTAAAGGTCATGCTTATGGTAAGGCCCAACAGTATTCCTCTTCATTTATTCCTTGCTGTTCCAGTGACTTGACATTTGGATCTTCTAGGCTAAGGTCTAGAAGATCTTGGGTATATATATATATATATATATATATATATATATATATATATATATATATATATATATACACAATATAGCCAAAGGTTTTCAGACACCTGATTATCACACCCATATGTGGTTCTTCCCCAAACTGGTGCCACAAATTTGGAAGCACACGGTTGTATAGAATGTCTTTGTATGCTATACCATTACAATTTCCCTTCACTGGAACTAAGGGGCACTGTCATGAAGACATGTTTTGCCAAGGTTGGAGTGGTAGAACTCGAGTGGTCTGTACAGAGCCCTGACCCCAACCCCACTGAACACCTTTGGGATGAACTGGAATGGTGACTGCCCCCCCTAGGCCTTCTCGCCCAACATCAGTACCTGACCTCACTACTGTTCTTGTGGCTCAATGGACAAATCCCCACAGCCAAATTTAGTGGAAAGCCTTCCCAGAGGAGTGGAGAATACCATCAAATTGGGACTAAATCTGGAATGGGATGTTCAACAAGCACATGCTGTATGAATGTTATGGTCAAGTGTCCACCAACTTGCTTGCTTTGTTCCTTGATGAGTGGTGAGTATACTGACATCACCCAGCTTCCAGGCTTTAAGAGAAGTTTAAGTAATGGCTAAATCATCTATATTTAAAGTATTTCTGAATGTCAGAAAGC